ACCACACAAAATACACCCCACCATTCGTGCATGAATCGTGTGCATGAATTCATTTGTGTGCGTTAGCCGCAACTCTATTTTGCTCTGTGCAAAAATTTCTCTCCCTTATCAGATCTCTCTGAGTTGTCTTCTTTGCTGGTATATGTTTTGTTTTGGTTAAATACAAATGCAATTCCATGCCGGTTAGAAGCGCTCTTTCGAAGTGCATCTGCCTGTTCCACACAGTCAATTCATATAAACTTTTTTCTTGCAATTATTTTTATTATTATAATTAATTTATTGAAGTGTGTGTGTGTAAGTGTATTTACCTTTTATTATTATTTTTAGCATAAGTGAATATGGAAGCTGAATATTTATATATTTTTTTTTAATAGAAACCAGTTAAACTACATAAACATTAAACCGACTATGCTTTAAGCTTATTTATTTAGTTATTATTTAATTTTAATATTTTAACCATATTTAATAATTGTTTATAAATTATTTATGTTTTATTATTTATTATTTACCATCTATAAGTTAATATAATATTTATTTATTACTATTTTTTTTTTTATATTATTTTTATTTTTATCTATTTATTATTTATTTATTATTAATATATTTATTTATAAATTAATATGGTATAATATTTACATATATACCTAAAGGATGGAGCCCTGACACGCTTACCAACGCCGCGTTATCGAATCTCAGAATGGTTACGGGCTGCTCAGGGAGGTATGCAGATCTGAGGTCAATTATTGCATAATCTAATGAAATGTTAAACAATAATCCAGTCAAGGCGTAGAGAGGGGATTTGAAGAAACCTCGCAGTTAATAGAGAGTAAAAATGCTCAAGTGCACTGATTCAACTAGCTTCAACATAATATATTTACTACTAATTTTTTAATTTATATATTATTTTTATTTACTTATTTTTTTCTGTCTGTTATTATTGATACCTATATTTATTATTTTACATTATTTTCATTATATATAAGTTATGTGTTTATTATATACCATATTTATTTTTTACTTATTAAATAATTATTTTTTGTTTATTGATTATTTAATATTTATTAATTATTTATTTAATATTTATTAATTATTTATTTAGTATGTCTAATATTTATTATTTATTAATTATTTTTTATTTTTGATTTATTACATACTTATTACTTATTTATTTTTTACTTATTAAATAATTTTTTTTTGTTTATAATTTATTGATTATTTATTAATTATTTATTTAATAAATATTATATTTATTATTTATTAATTATTTTTCATTTTTGATTTAATACATATTTATTACACATTCTGTCTTTTGTTTGTTACTTATTATTTATTATTTTTTATTACATATTTATTAATTGTATTATTTATTCTTTAATAGTTATTATTTATTTATTATTTATTTATTTATTTCTTAGTTATTTATTATTTATTTATTTATTGTATGTTACAATTTGTATATTAATAAAAGTTTACAACTGAACAATATATTTGAAACTGAAATAAAATTTTCGTACTATTTTGCAGTATGTTTACACTATCATAATTACTATCTCAATCAGCTGAATATACTATATGTAATGTAAGCATATGGTAAACATAATGTAAGTTGTGACATGAAACATAGGTTGGTAAAAAACAAAGTACAACTTGGGATGTATTATATTATTTATGGATACCCATAATAGGATGAAAATGTTCTTAAACTATGAAATATTAAATTATTTTAATTCTACAGAATGGATCTATTTTTGTCTCGTGGTCTCTTGTAAGGATTGTTGTAGTAAAACAGCGAAAAATCGCTAATTGAGGTCAATGGAAAGGTGTCTGCCGAAGTGCCAATACAACCAACCAACCATTGGAATAAAATAATCTAGGCAGGCTATTTAGATCCTAAAATTTGTTAACAAATAAAACAGTGAAGAATAATTTTTAATTCTAAACTATTAAGTATGTAATATATCTTTACAAATGAAGCTATCTCTTGACGTGCGAATATACTAACTAAACTTTGATAACCTATTTACCTACAATCTGACTTTTTCATTGACACATATAATTTTTGTTCGCAGACAAGTTTAGTTAGAAACCAGTATATTAAAGATACTCTTTAGATAATTAAAAATTATGAGTTATTATAGTACTGAGAACTAATCCAAATAGTTAGTTCTTCGTATATTCCACTATTTTTTTTTTGAATTATATTCAAATTTCATTTGAATTGTTATTAGAAATGAAGATCATTACAGTGTATGGTAACGCATCTTTTCTTCTGTAGTGTACTCATTATCAATAATCTGGACTGGTCTTTGTACCCTATCTTAGTTTTTTTGGGTTCACTAGCCGTAAGGGGCAGTATGCAGATCTTAAAACAGTCATCGAGTAATTAGCGAATCTTGTAAGAAATACATAAATTAGTTTTATGAGAAGGTAGGGGCTCTATAGAAACCTCCCAGCTAACAAAGAGTCAAAGAGAAGGTAGAGGCTCTATAGAAACCCCCCAGCTTACAAAGAGTAATAGTCCCTAGTTGCACTAACTAAGAAAAACCTCTACATAAGACTTGCTTGAGTAAAAATTAATATATTTTTCAATTAACATTAAATATATTTTGATATAATATATGGCATTCAAAATTAAGTAATAATTTAAGTATACCCAGTATATTCTAAAATTTGTTTAACTTATATTGATACAATATACGCGATAGTAAATAATAAAAATTGGGTATCCGATAAATTCCATCAAGTTTTTGAATTATATTTAGAATTTTATTTTTTTTACCTGGTCTATCAGTATAATCTTGCCTTTTAAATCCACTTATTATAAATCATTTAAGTGTTTTTCGGATTTTTAAAGAAATTAGTTGTCAGTCAGAGGTTCCCGATATATTCCAACAATTTTTTGAATTATATTCAGACTTTTAGTTTTTTTACCGGGTCTATTAGTATAATTTTGCCTTTCTAATCCATTTATTATGAATCATTTAGGTATTTTTTAAATTTTTCAGGGAATTAGCTCTCATACACAGGTTCCCGATATATTCCATCAATTTTTTGAATTACATTCAGACTTTTATTTTTTTTACCGGGTCTATTAGTATAATTTTGCCTTTCTAATCCATTTATTATGAATCATTTAGGTATTTTTTAGATTTTTAAGGGAATTAGCTCTTATACACAGGTTCCCGATATATTCTATCAATTTTTCGAATTATATTCAGAATTTTATTTTTTTTTACCAGGTATAGTCTTGCCTATTAAATCCACTTATTTAATTTTTAAGGGAATTAGCTGTCAGATACGGAGATGGTTTTCTTCTTTGGCAAGAATTTAAATAAAACTTGTATTTCTTATAAAAACTTTAATTCTTTAATTCTTTTTGTTAAGACTACAACAGAGATTGGAATTAGAATTAATCTTAATTACGAAGCAAGCAAGCAGACAGAGAATTTAACTTAAATACAAAGAAGGCAGAAAATTAAATTATGGTTAATAAAAATATAAACATTTTGTTTCGCTATCAACTTAGAAATCATAACTTATAAATTTAATATAAACCATTTAAAAATTAAATAAATAATAAAATAATTAAAATCTTAACCACATTTTTTCAATAATTTTTCTCTGCTTCTTCCTTCTTATAAGCGATTAAAAATCCACTTGCAGTGCAGCAAGAAAAACTCTTCTTTCTATTGCCAACAAGATTAAGACCAATTTTGGAGAGTGTATTTGTGTTAACTTCACACAGCAACCACTCATACGCAGCTGAGAGCAAGACCAACACTAACGCATTTATTTATCAGTGAGCAAACAGAAGCAGAAAACACAAAATTTTACTGAGAATTTAGTTGTGCGACAACTTGCGGTGTGCGAAGATGTTGTAGCGCAAGTTCGAAGTGAACATTAAATCCAATAGCGAGTAGTAGAACAAAAAAAAATCCAAATCAAATATAAACGAAAGATAAATAAAAGCAGTTAAATGTGATTATAAATAAATTGACAATTGTGCTCTATTAGTAAATAAAAAATCAAAGTCAGACAATAGAACGAACAACAACAACAAGAACCAGAACAAAAAATACTAAAAAGAACAAATATGGCCAACGTATGCACCGCAATTGTCGCGTATGTTTACAATTAGGCAAGTGAGCTTATCACGAAGCAATTGACATTGCGTGTTGACAGTCGCTGTAAGGCGCCCGATCAAGTGTGATGTGTGTGACGGATTCTTATTCTAATTGACACTAAATACAAATACAAAACGCAGAGTATCAGAATATATGCCATTCGTCGAACGTTAATCGCTGCACACAAAGCCTCAATCAATTAATAACTTAAGGTGTAAGGATAATCTCGAAGGATGTACATATAATATATGTAAAGCAAAATAAAAAATTAAAACTTATATTACGTTTGATGATAATAAAATAATTTTTTTTTTGTTTTTGATATTTATAATCACTTTATAAATTAAACTTAACGTTAAAGGTGTGTCCATTTTTTTTATTTTATAATTAAATGGAAAATATTATACGCGTATTTATTTTATTTTATATTTCTGAGTGATAAGAAGACTTCCAACTAAAACTATCTATCTAACTATCTGTGCTGTGCATTGACTTTGTATCGGTAGGCGTTCATTAGTCGTTTTAGTTACGCTTTAGATTTCGGTTCCAAATGACTTCAGTAACAGAGATAAAATTCCTAAGCGGTGTTTTTAATACTAATGACGTCGCGTCAACGCTTTAAGTAACGCTTTAAGTAACGCCATTATTAATTTCCGTAAAGGAGTAATAGAAGTACCGTGCACGGTACTGTGAATTCTGTGTCGAATTCTAACTTAATTAGAGAAATCTCAGATATTTTTCGTTACTTAACTTACACAAATCAAACCTTAGCTTAAACGTGTGTAATACGTATTTCTAAATAAAAATAAATAATAAAAATAATATGAAAATTTATTTCAAATAAATTATTTAATGAAAAAAATAATATATATTTTTTGCGGTAGTCAATATTAATTAAAACTGAAATAATTCAATTAAAAATTTAACTGAACGCAGGCTACCATGGATTTCCAAAGTGCTATGGAAACTTTTGCAGAAGCTTGGGTAGCTGCTAATGCTGGACAACAGGTAGAATTTATTTTTAAAAACATTTTTTTAATAATTAAATTAATATTACATTTACGTATACAGAACTTTAAACCATTTATATTTAAACTGAAATATGAATATAAAATAATAACTGTTTCTCACATGATACAGTTAGAAGTAAGGAGAGATAATCCCTCTAAACTATTCAAAAATCTAACTAATTTTTTTTAATATACGATTATAAGCATCAGAATATATGGACAATAACATTTCAAGAATAAAAATATAAAAATTTTATTGGCACCTCTTTAGGCTCACAAAGCTTATGTTCTAAAATTTAGTACAAAAAGCTATTACTTCTTTATTTTTTAGTGCAATTTGTTCAAATTCTAATGGTTTTATTGATTTCAATATATTATATGAATTCTTTCTTAACACATATTTTTAAATATAAAAGCTTTATTGACTGAAATTTAGTACAATAAACCATTATTTCGATGTTCTTAAGTTCATTTGATTGGGATTCTAAAAATTCTATTAATTTCAGTAACATATATGAATAATTTTATTGTTATTTATTTAAAACTTTTTAATTAGAAATGATCAATTTGCACTTATATCTAAATTTATAAGATTTAGTAAATGAAATCTATCTTTATTCTACAAGAAAACAATATTAAGTCTTGAAATTCCATTAATTGCAATCATTTCCATGAATTAATTCTGAGTTTTCGATCCTAGAATTAAAATAAAATAATATTTAATAGATTTTTATTAGAATCTAATAATAGAATAAATGCTTTTACGTTAAAGGTTTGATTTAAAGTTTAGTGTTCTTACATAAATTTTCTCAAACTAGTGATATCTTTCTTCATGTTAGTCATATATTGAACCATTATTCTTTAAACTAAAATAAAGAAAACAGGTTCGAAAAAATGAAGAAAATACTACTAAATGATGCTCAACTTAATTCATTTCAATTAAGAAAGAAAATAGGTTCAAAAAAGTGAAGAAAATACTGCTAAATGATGTTGAACTTAATTTATTTCAATTGATATTGTATAAAATTTAACAATGTAGGTTTCACATCCCAAATTATATATTTCTCCTAATTTTACTTAGTATTGTCTTACTCATTTAATTAATTATACCATTGTACTGTTTCAAACTGTTTAAGTTGTTCTAAAATTTAGTACAAAAAAATTTATATCTCTTTAGTTCTCTAACTATATACACTTTTATAACGTTTATATCTGAAATTACTCTTATTATTAAGAAAACCAAAACTATTATATTTTAAATACTAACACATCTATTACATTTTAAATGCTTATCCTGCGTCTTCTACAAATACATATGCACAACCAAGTACAGTTAATTGATATTTATTTTCATCATAAGATATACATTAGGCATGACCTTAAGCAAAAATCAATCCACCAAAATCTGCACTCAAAGATCAATCAAGTTATATTTTTTCTAGCTATATAGATCAACTGTAATAAGATTATCTTAAGAAGCTTATTCACACAGCAGAAGTGATTTTAGCTTTGATTGTAAACAGCAAAACTCTCATCTTATTTTATTCTTGCTTTGCTATATTCTGTGAGATGTACTCATAATATCACTTTAATAGTATTATATTGAAGTCCCCTCTTATTTTATCGAAGGTAAAAATATTATTAATTTAATTCGTTCCATAATAAGACATATTTATATCACTTAATTTGTATCACTTACTCTGTATAATTATAACATTTGCTTGATTAATAACGCCTTTTATGTCTATTCAATAAGTCCACACAGGTTACTGTTTATCGCTGAAGATAGTTAGTTCATTTCCAAGACTCTTAAAATTAAATTTAAATAAAAATTTGAGATAAATGTATCAAATTGATAGAAAATTTATAAGATATATTTATAATATGTGAATTATAAAATGTATTATATATACATAATATAGTTTTTTAGAAATTTATTATTTATGTGATTTATAAAATCTATTAGTGCTTTTATTAGGTTTAAATATGATACATTATTTGGTTACTTGAAGTGGTGACTAGATCCATGCGTTCAACCAGGGTCTATTTCTTACCATATCTTGGCTCTCTAGTGTTTAATTGATTGTTTGATAAGCAGCTGGGTTCATTCCAGGCTCCATACAACTTTAAAACCATTTTAGAATCTCCCTAAACTTAATAAAGAGCGGTTTTTCTAAGGTGAGTACAGACCGCTTTCAAAGAGCATACTATTCACAGAGGAATCTAAGAATAAAACATGGCTTTATAACAAAGAATTGATTGTTCTTATATTTATCAGTTGTCGGGTCCTATATATTTAGTACTAAAAGCATTTAAAAATATGTGTATTCACTTCAGATATATTTAATAAAAGTTATGAACAAATGTTTTAAAACTCAACATTAGTAATATATTCCAAAACAAATATTTACTTAACCATTTACAAAAGTATCATGTGATATTACTGAACCAATTTATTTTTTTAGATTACTTTAACATACACACCTATAGTTGGAATATATCCACATAAGATTATCTCATATTTTTTACTATTAAATACCGTCGGTATGATAAACTGATAAAGTGACTCTCCTCTGTCTCTTGTATTTACTTTATTTATTTATTTTTTGCATAAATGCAGTCAGTTAAGCTGCACAAATAAACTCTAAATAACTTTATTTATATAAACAAAATACTCCAGTACGACTTGGCTTCATTATTTGTTCAAGTATGCAAGTCCCAACCGCTGCTGCATTGTGGTTTGCTCAGATTACGATAATCCTTATCAGGTAATGTTTGAAGAGATACTTGATAACGCAGAACAAATAAACTTACAAATCTTTGAAAAGGCAATGGAAAGGTAAAACGAATGATATCACTTTAATACACTGCATTCAACCTCTCATACTACATTTAAAATTATATAAATTACTCATATTAGTTAAGTAGTAAATAATTTTTTTTATTTAAATTTTAATTTGTAATATACATTTAAAATTTTTTTTATCTAGAAATCATTAGATTAAACTAGTTTTAAAGTTAATTTAGTATTTATTCTACCAAAATATTGATATAAACATTAAAAATCTTTTAAGATTCAGAAAAACAAACATAAGTTGACAGTCGAGATAATATATCTGCAGAGCGGATAAATACGAGTATCTAAAATCTAAATAAACATTTAATAGCAACGAAGACGTAATTTATTGTAATAATTTTAAACATTAGTAAATTAGGTAAAAGATAGCAAAATGATGAAATATCTTTTAATCACTTTATATATTTAATATTTAATATATTTAATATACTTAAAGTGGTACTAGTATTAAATTTTAAAGAAAGAAGCATCATGTACTGATCGAAAGCTATATATATAAAGATCCCGTCAATGTTTAACAACTACCATATATTAGTACTATACTCTTAGTTATTACAGTACTCACTTGAAAATGTGAACACTAGCTTTTTAAACCCTGGATTAAAGCAATTCTGTTTTTTCCACAGTTCCACATTTCCTAATTAAGTAAAAAGTAATTATCATTACTAATAATTTGATCAGATATCATAATAATATATTATTATATATTACGTAAATATTAATTAATTTACATTAGTTATATGATATTATATATATAAATAATTTTATTAGAATAAAAATATCGGTCATCCGATATTATGGTAATTCGACCAAGCTTTCGCACTTCATTCTCCGGATTATAGAGAGATTTATAAATTCCATTTATTTAAAAATTTATCACTTTATAAAAAATAGATATATAAAATAATATATTAAAGACTAAAGTTCGGAAAAATTTTATAAAATTACTTTTGTAGGTTGGGGCGAGTCTGCGACAGACTACACATAGAACTTGTATGAGTCCGTTACTTTAACCCCAGTGCGCTTGTTTTAGCTTATTTTCGTTCCCAGTGTTTTCATATTCTAGACAGTGTCTTTAATATTTACTTGTATTCTTGATTAAAGAGAATTCTTTATTATATATATTAACTTACATTTAAAGTGATTTTATGGTACTTCTAATATCATTTTTGATGGCACTTCGGAGCTTTTGAAAATGCGTATTCCAAGAATTGTAATAGATGAGAGTTAAGTAATACTTAATTTCTTTAGGCAGAGTCGGCAAAAATTGTGGGTAGAACTCCAAGTTTCTGCGTATGCCTACCTATAAAGCAAGAGCCGATTAATAGCCAATAACCAAGCAATATAATATTGTCGATGTCCGTCTTATTCAATTATTTGATTATAATACTTTGTTATTATAGATGATCTGATAGATTTAATTTTGGTTAATGTTGTCTCATTTTCCCATCTCATTTATGGTGTTTTGAGGAAACATAATTGTATAATGAAGTTATAGTTCTTATTTATTAAATTTAAGAATCTGATATGAGTTCCTCATTTAGCTGGATTTTTGGAAGCATACTATAAATATATATCACACAGGTAAAAAATTGCCTTTTTTAGAGTTTATTGTAAATGTGTACTAAGAAGACTATTCTTGAAGGCATTTTTGCGCATATTGCAATAATTGAATTAGAAATTCTAACAAAGTATCTTTATATCACCCAAGGATTGTGATTAACAACTATTAACTATTTTATTGAAATAAGAAAAACAAATTTAATAAAAACTAAATACATCTTTTAAAAAACTTATCAAATAATTTTAAAATATTCTTATATATATTTTGATCTGTGTTTTGTTATAAAGACTTTATATATACAATCTCTGAACTACAAACCCAATTTATTTTAATTATCAATTCAAAAGTATTTAAAAACAAAATATATTATATAAAAAAAATTAAATTATAATTAATTAAAGATAAATCTTAATTGTAGCTCTTTAAAATTTTCTAAAAATATTTCTGTTTATATTACTATATATGTATGTACTCGAATGTATTTATTTATATTTATTTTAAAATAGGTCTGACTCACGTTTTCAGTACTTATGATACAAACGTTTTCATGTTATTTTGTAAACTTTTTTTCGTTTTC